GGTCATGGGGTGCAACCCCAATGTTTGTCCACATTGTCCCTGCCCAGGGAGAAACCCCAGAGAAGCTGTGCCTCCTGTGCAGGAGAGACTGAAGTGTCAGAAGCCAGGGACAGACCTGCCAGCCAGCCTAACTTTACTTCACCACCTTCCTCAGAACCATCTGGTCCCCTTGACAGACAGACCCACAGGTGAGTAGAGAATACAGAGTGTCCCTTACTGGGATCAGAATGGGACCAGGCCTGGAGGTCAGTGTGTGCCCTCGACAGAGCTAAGACCAGTTCTGGAGGTAGGGGTGTTGGGAGGAGATTTATTTAAAAAACAAAAAAACTGGTGGGTGGGGTGTGGCGATGCATACCTCTAGGCCTAGCACTGGGGAAGTGGAGGCAGGATCATCAAGAAAAACTCAAGGCCAGCCTCAGCTACATGAGAATCTGTTGCAAAATCAACAAATCAACAACAAAACTAAAAAAAAAAAAAAAAAAAAAAAAAAAAAAAAAAAAAAAAGAAAAGGCACACCCACCTCCAACCAGGATGGGTGGGATCTCACATCTGTTGTCCCCCTTTGCCTTCTTTAGCAAACAGTTCACTTTTGGGGGCCTCGGTTTCCATGTCTAGAAAGCAAGAGAAGTGGAGTCCATGACTACAAAAGGAGTTAATTTTAGCCAGGCCTGGGGTGAGCAACCTGAAATCCCACCACTGAGGAGGTGTCGGCAGTAGGATTGCAAGTTTGAGCTTGCCGGGGCTACCTGGTTAGGTTCTGTGGCTAAAGAGCTGGTTAACCTAGTCAGGTCAAAGGTAGGAGTGCTTGCTTGCTGGTTGTCAGCCCAGGGCTTCTCCCTCTAGAGGACATGGACGGTAACTGCGGGGACATCAGTACAGGAGAGGGACTGAGTCTGGGGACAGGAAGAAGCAAGTGTTTCTTTTTTTTTTTCTTTTCTTTTTTTTTTTTTCCAGACAAGGTTTCTAAACCAAGTTCACATTGCACTCTTCCCTCCCAGCCTGTGCAGTCCCTTAGTGCCTACTGTGACGGGTAGACAAGTGTCCCAAAGTTAGTCCTGGGTCTACTGAGACCTCCCTTAATGAAGAGTCCTGGGCCAGACCTCAGCCTACAGTTGAAAGTGGTGAAATTACTTCACCTCTCTGAGCCTGTTTGGCATGCAGTGATACTTCCTAGCCCTCAGAGCTGAGAATTTGAAAGGCAGTTGTGTTCTTGAGAAAATGTCTCAAGACAGGTGCCCTGGCTCCAATGTGAAGTCCTCTGTTCCTTTGCTGCAGTCACAGAGGCTTGTCTGAGTTCCCTGTACTTCAACCTCATCTGCCACTCATTTCTGCTTCCTGGAGGCCAGATGTCTCCATTTCCAACTTGGGACTTATAGGGACTCTTCCTGGGGTTGGAGGAGCTGGTAACTCCTGGAGACTAGCAGCAGCAGTCTGATTTGGGGTAGGAAGTTGGGAGATTGTCGGGGTTGTCAGCAAGGCTGACACACACAAATGTGTTTTCTTCCCTCCTTACCAGTGTTGATCATAACACCCTGGAATGTTGGCTCACAAACTGAACTTGAACTAAGTGTAGAGTTCAGGTAGCCTTAGAGGAGGTAAGATCTGCTCAGAGCCCTGAGGAATCTCTTTTCTCACACAAAGATCTCCAGTTTGTGGTAGGCCCTGCTCATCGAAAGGGTGCAGAGATGAGTTCTTCAGGGTGGCAAGGAAGGCAAAGTGGTAAACAAAGTCACATGGGGTTTGGGAGGAGCACTAGGGACCTGGCACCTAGTTTAGCCTGTGGATGACAGGCTTCTAGGAGCCCAGGGAACAGACCATTCAATTTTCTGGAGAAAACAGCCAAGTCCAGGCTTGCCTTTTTTTTTTTTTTCCTTGCTATATTGATCAGGTTGGCCTGGAACTTGGGGGAAATCCTCTCCCTCTCTCCTGAATACTGGGGATACATGTGTTCACAACCATGATTGGCTTCTTTTTTTTAATTTTTTAAATAGGGTCTTTCTTGTCCAGCTTGGCCTTGACCTTGCCGAGTTTTCCCCCCTCAGCCTCTTGAGTATTAGGGTTACAGGTATCCACCACCGTGGATACCCCAGGACTGTCTGAGGTGAGTGTTAAGGCTGAGTAAGGTGTAGGATAAAGGAAGGGAGGACCTGGCTGAAGGAATAGCTTGAACAAGGCATAGAGATTCGAAACCATGAACAACATTGTAGAAGCTTAAGTACATGCATGACTTTGGTACAGGAAAGAGAGTGGAAAAGTGAGAGTGGTCTCATTATGTACCCCTAAATGACCTGGAACTCACCTCATAGACCAGGCTGGCCTCAAACTCACAGAGATCTACCTGCCTCTGCCTCCCGAGCCCTGGGATTAAAGGCAGGAGCCATTATGCCTGGCCTTGAAACACAACACTAATCATTTGTATTGAAGGGACCAGCTCCCCATTTCGGCAGCCCTAACAGCCCAACTCGTGCTTGTCTGATTTTGTCTTGGTCACTAGGAGGTCAGATGCCTGCCTGGTGGCAAGGAACCAATCAGAAGTTAGTTGGTGGTGCTATGCTTTACGTCTCTGGGTGTACTTTATAGACAAGTGCACAGCAATGACAGCGCAGAGCATAGCAACCACCCTGGGAGGGCCTATGGGCCATAACAACCAGTTGACCAATCAACACAGGGCAAACCCTCCAAGCCTGGAAGCACACCAATCCTGAGCCTGTTTGTACCCCTAGACACTCCCCTTACACTGCCCTAGGAGATCTCTATGCAGATGCTTCGAGCTGTCTTTCTTAACCATCCACCATGGTGGATGGATGAAAGGCCCCAGCTAACATGGGGTAGCTCGTTAAACAACTGCAATAAAGCCTCGTGCAGTTTGCATCAAACTTTCAACTCCGCCTGGAGATTGGGGTGGCCGAGGTCCTGGGCTGAGATCCTGAGCTTCTGGGGGTCATTCAGTATATTGTAAAATCTTACTTTACAAATCAGTAAATAAGGCTCAAAGAGATTAATGATCTGCGTCTGTAGAACACAGCCCCTCTCCTCCTCCCTCCCTCCTCCCAGGATCAAAACTGGGGGAAACCACTTGGGCACAGATGCCAGACCATTCCTGAGATGCCTGCTCTTGCCTTCAACATTCCTTTATTAAACTCTCCTATCTGAGCTGGCAGCCTTCCTGTTTCAGGCCAGCAACTTGTCTCTCGGCAATTATTTTCAGGTCTCCATGTACCACAGAAAGGAAGGGGCCACCACAATGGGAGCCTGCTGGAAATGAATTTTGTTTTTTGAGATAGGACGAGTCTCACTACGCTTGCTATGAGCTCTGGATCTTTCTTCAGTCTCCAGAGTGATGTTGGGGTTACAGGCAGGTGTGTGCCTCCACATCCACATGCACCCCCATTTTAAATAGCAGAAGAAAAGGGTTGGTTGTTTTGTTTCGTTTTTTTAAGACAGGGTTTCTCCGTGTAGACCGATGCTCTGGCATTTGCTGTATAGACTAGGCTGGCCTCAAACTCACAGATATCCACTTGCCTCTGCTTCTCAAGTGCCTGTACCACTACAGGGAGAGGGGGCGTGATTGAAGCAAGTGCCATCCAAACCAGTCCCATAGTCCTGGGCAGATTTGGTTGTACCATTGCTTAAGGTTCACACAGGCAGTGATGGACCCGTAGGTCTGGGGCCTGCATGTTGGATGTTGCCCTGCCAGGTCATGTCTTATTTAGGGGTTCAGCCAGGGCACACCTGTTCCAGTTGCCCCATGGACTCTAATCGGTCAGAAGCCAAAAATGGAAATGTATATTAAAACAGGAAGGCGCAGGTCCAAGGGCCTCCCGTCTAAATTTTATTTTCAGTGTTTTTCTTTCCCTCCGAATTTGCATGTGAAGCTGCCCGGTAGCTTTAAGCTCCGTGGAGAACCTTGGTGGGTCCTGGTAAATACAGTTCCTTTCTATGCAGACAAGTCACGAGGGTAGCCAAGGCCCCAACTCCTCCTTGAGTACTTGGAGTCCAGGTACTTAGATGGTGTCTCCAGGAATCTTCACCATAGGCGTAAAACAAAAACAAAAACAAAAACAAAAACAAAACTCTATCTTCATACGCTTAAAAAACAAAAAACCGGGCCGGGCGTGGGTGGCACACGCCTTTAATCCCAGCACTGGGGGGAGAGGGGGGAGGGAGGCAGAGGCAGGCGGATCGAGGCCAGCATAGGCTCCAAAGCTACACAGAGAAACCCTGTCTAGAAAAAAGAAAAAAACAGAACAAAACAAAAACCCAAAACTCCAAAACCAACAACTCTAACAGGTGAGAAAACGGAGATGCAGGGATTCGGAATTGTAATCTTGAGGATGGCAGCCCATGTCTCTCTGTTTCAGACCCCAAAGCTCACAGTTTGGCTGTCCCTGCAACAGCCTTCAAAGGGCTGCAGGAAGGCGAGAGGAAACCTTTCCCTCAGGTTGGTTTCGGATGCCTAAGTCTTCTCTCAGACCAATTAAATCACAGCCTCTGGGGTCGATGCACACATCAGTGTCTTTCCGGACTCGCGGGTTGATTCCTGTAAGCACCGGGGAGCTGCCCTGCCCTTTACTTTAATGGCCTCGTCCAAAATCGTGTTCAAGAAAGCAAAACCTGGGGCGCGGGGCGGCGGGGGCCGCTAATTCCCCTTTGCTCATGGTCACAACCTGAGGAGGGGCCCTGGTGGGGGGTCCCTTGCGGCTCAGGTGTGGCTTGGCTGCAGGAAGTTACCC